TGAACTTTCCAGACAGTCGTTTGGTGATGTTATACAGCTGTTTCATATTACCATTGTATGCTGCCTGTTCTGCTTCTGCTGCCAGTCCATCCACATAATCTCTCTTCTCCTTCCTAATATTCCTCTTCACTACTTTATGGGCTTCAGCATACTCTTCTTGCGCTTTAGCCTTTGCTGCTCTAGTCCTGCTGCCTTCTTCTTCTTTCTATCTTCTGTCTTAGTCAAGATCTCTGCTGTGATCCACTCTTTCTGCTGCTATTTCTTGATTCCAAGCACTTCCTGGCATGCTGACTTAAGTGTCTCTCTCACTTTCTGCCATCTGTTGGGTACACTGTCTTCCTCTTCCTCAGACCGATCCTGTAGTACTGAAAACTTATTCTTCAGCGTCAGTCCAAAATCTTCCTTGATCTTATGATCCTTCAAAAGGCTGACGTTGTACTTCGCTCTTCTATCTGACGCGTCTATCCAGTTCTTCTTCAGCTTCAGCTTCAATCTGGCCACCACTAAGTGATGGTCGGACGCTACATCTGCTCCTCTTCTAACTCTAATGTCCTGCAAAGATCTTCTGAACTTCTTACTAATACAGACATGATCGATCTGGTTTTCCATCGTGCCCGCTGGCGATACCCAGGTACTCTTGTGGATCCGCTTGTGAGGAAAGATACTACCTCCTATGACCAGGTTGTTAAGTGCACACAAATCCACAAATCTCTCTCCATTCTCACTTATCTCTCCCAGAGCGTGGGTCCCTATGACTTGTTCATATCCTGTGTTGTCAGGTCCAATTTTGGCATTAAAGTCTCCCATAAGGACGGTAATGTCTTTGTCTGGGAGAGTCTCTAATATTTTCTGAAGTCTGTTGTAAAAATAGTCTTTGTCCCCCTCTTCACTGTCATTGGTTGGAGCATAGCACTGTACAACATTCATCTTAATCCTCTTCATTTTAGTTCTGAAGGATGCTGTGATGATCCTGGAACCATGTGCCTCCCAACCAATCAGTGCTCTCTGTGCCTGCTTGGACAACATGAAGCCTACTCCCTGTGTGTGGGGTGCGTTGCTCTCTTCATGTCTGGAATACAGCAACAGCTCTCCTGTCAACAATCGTCTCTGTCCAGCTTGCGTCCATCTTGTCTCGCTAATGCCTAGTAGGGTCAGGTTGTTGCTCCTCATCTCTGCTGCGACCTGCGCCATCTTTCTTGACTCGTACATGGTCCTCACGTTCCATGTACCGATGGTAATCCTCCTAGTTGCAAGAAGGGTAATCGGCGTAGTGGCTTCCTCACGACTTTCACCACCCAGTGTCATGCATCTTCGAGTTGAAGGCCCTTCTTTTTCCAGGCTAAAAGACTCTGTTATCTCTATTGTTGGCGTTTCTGTAGCAAATTAATTTTTTTACGGGGTGGAGTTGCTAGCCCCACGCCCAACCCTCCTCCTTTATTCTGACTTGGGACAGGCAGATGGCCCCAAAGGACCTCTGGTGGCGTTACATAGTGGGTAGTTTAACGAATTCAGCAAGGAATAAGCAAATGGTAAAATGATAACTGGGAGACACAGAAGTGGAGAATTTTGCCAGAATGTACTTTAGAAAAGTTGACTCTGAAGTAGGTACCACTTTGCAGTGTGAGATTTTAAACAGAGCAAACTGAACCTCTATTCAATTGAATTTGCAAGAGTTGCTATTTTATGTGATTCCTATTGAGAAGTTTTCCCCAGCGCATATGGCAAATTCCTTTCATCAATGTAGGCCAAGGACATCATTCCAAAATACAATTAGCCCTGCATTTCATTTTCTGATTCTCCAGTTTATGAAATTCACTGTACATTGTGGATTTTAATGATGTATATATTCATGCTCTAACTACAGTACAGTCTAACTCAAGATTTTTTGCAATTGCAATGAAAGCACAAGATAAGAAAACACAGATCCTGCTTGCAATATGGCCTTGTGAGATCCCTAGTGCTCAAACATTGTTACTATCAGATGGCTCTTGACCTGCTGATGCACAACCAGTGGTGGTCTCAGTCCACTTCTCTGGGCTTAAGTGGGATTGAAATGATGCATGCTGGCCCTCTACACAGTGGGGGATTTCCTTCTTTGTGCATTACACACTAGCTAAGTATGTGTATGTGCCTATGCACATACACATTTGATCATGCCTCCCTCCACTGGCTGATCCCAATGTCTAGACAGCCTCATACATTCTGAAAGCTAGAGGAATCCCTCTTTAGCTCAAGTGGTAGAGGTTTCTTCTTCTGGTGCTGAAGGAACCAGATTCAATCTAGGGGTTACCATTGTGTCTGCATGTAGCGTGACCAGATGTCCTGGTTTTATAGGGACAGTCCCGATTTTTGGGTCTTTTTCTTATATAGGCTCCTATAACACCCCCCCCCCCCACCCCAGCCCCTGTCCCGATTTTTCACACTTGCTGTCTGGTCACCATATCTGCATGTGCATTTCAGCCCCAGCTCATGACACATAGTACATTCGTAATATGTTTGTGCACCACAGAGAGTATTTAATGTGCATCCATTCAGTTAATTTCTTCTATGCATTACTTACTTGGGTGGACCATAGGAACAAATCCATTTCCCCCTTCTTTTTTTTTAATCAGGTTCCGAGGCTCCTATCAGAATTTGCACTGGGGTTACATTTCCGATGCGTTAGTAGACTTGACAGGTGGAGTCCAAGTGCAGTTTCTTTTACAGAAACCTCCTTCTGATCTGCAGGAGATAATAAAAGCAGCTGCCAAATCACAATGCCTGATGGGATGTACCACGCCAGGAGGGGTAAGCAGGAGGGACAGGCCTTCTTGCCTTTACCATATTTATATTACTTTTTTTTTTTGAGGAAACCAGGAATCCATATCTACCCCTGTACAATAGGTACTCTCTGAGGGGGCCTGTAGTGTCCCTAGTGGTAGAGAAGAAATAATACTTAGCTGTATTGCATCTAAAGGGATTTTTTTTTTATTGGGGTTGCTGGCCAGAAGTTTCCAAAGCTCTCAGACAGATTATGCTACCCAGCATCACCAAAGAGACTCTCACTAAATCCTGGCCAGGACTGAACCATTGTAGAAGGGATGACTACTTGACAGGGCTAATCAGCAAAGATGCCAGAAATCTAGGGCTGAGCTACTTGGATAGAAAGTGGATGCCGAAGCCCAAAGGAAGTTTTCCGACTCAAAAGTGCTTGATTCCATAACTATGTTTTTTTATAGCTCCTGATTGGCACCTCAGACCAGCATAGAAAGTGGCCTTATGACTTCAGGACCAGAATTTGAGATGATCAGTTTCTAGGGCAGGAAGACCAAAAGGAGGTCTTTGGAGAAGACACCCAGTATGTCTGCTGCTGACAGCTATTGGGTATTGGCTGCTAGTTCAGTTGGTAGAATCGCAGGTTTACATTTGAATAAAGCAGGCTCCTCGTAGGCTGAAATCACACTTCTGAGATACAGGGAAAGAGATAATGCTGCTTGGTGGGACGCTGCTGGGCTGATGGGGCCATCATAAAAGCACTCCTGTTGTCTGCGGGCGTGCTGCAAAGAGACTTCCATGGATTTATACAGACTGTGCAGTGCGCTAGCAAAGTGTGTGTTATGCCGCCTCTAGTGTTTGGTTCACTAAAAAATAGCTGCCAACTGCTGCTACCCACTAACTGAATTACCCCTTTAGTTCAAGTGCTGAGACTGGTGCTTAGGTCAATTCCTACCAATTCCCACCTCAGCTATTGTCACAACTGCATCTGCTGTGGAAATTGCTCCAACACTGGATCCTTATGGGCTTTTCAGATGTGTGATGCCTTTGTAGCTCCATTAACTTGGTTGGATTTGCTTGGGGCCACCAGGGGAACAAACACCAGGCACTTAAGCACTATAGCTGAGCTGCTGATGTAAGTGAAGTCAGCTCCATTTTTCTTTTTCCCCCAAACTAACCAACTAGCGGTTTGGGGGGCAAACAAATGTATGTTTGCAAGTCTTTCAGGGAGCTCATGGCTGTGCTTTCTCTCCACAGCAATCCATTGGTAACGTGGAGTTGGAGAACGGACTCGTGAAAGGCCATGCCTATACTGTCACCGGGGCTAGAGAAGTAAGAACTGAGACCTTTTCCCTACCTATCATTCTTTCTGTATTATTCCATGGCCGTCTCCTGATTAGCACACTGACTGCTGCTCCACTCACAGTTGCTTTCAGAGATTTTAAGGTCAGAAGGGATGCTTATGATCATCTAGTCTGACCACCTGCATAACATAGGCAATTGAATTTCACCTGTAATTCCTGCATCAAGGCCCAAATTTCTGCAGTCTAGGATTGTGTGTGGAATAAAGGGAATATGGTCAGCTCTCTGTTTTCAAGCAACATATCAAAGCGATGGAGAGTAGAGCCCATCGTTAACACTCCTGGCTTCAGTCGCCCACAGCCAATGATATTGCCAAAGGTACCTGTTACCAAAAATGCAAGACCATAAGCAAGCCTTCAGGGTTTTCAAGAGACAAAACCAAATTAAATGCATGGAGACTCTTGTATGTTCAGTCCATGAGTTAATTTAATTCCAGGCTAGCAAAGGTAATCAAATTAAGGGAAATTATGGCCCATTATGTTATATATTGTAAGGTTCCCACTCAAGGCCTACGTGATCTTGGTGATAGCTGCACAACATGAAAGGTATGAAGAGAAGCCTACTCTATACTGATGGTTTGTCCATTCCACTCGCCTAAATTGTAGGGGTGAGGAGTGGGAGTGGATAGGTGGAGAATTTGAATGTGATAATGGGTGGGACATGTGAGATGTATGCATGGCTTTCAGGGAAGGGAATGTTTGTGATTAGGATATGACAGAATGGCAATGCTGCCACTGTTGGGGACTTTGGAGGAAATTCTGCTGTTGAAGGGACAAAAGTTCCTCTCTGTTTAATAGGGGGTCTGATAGTAGAGCTGGTTAGGAATTTCCAGATGGAAAATGCAGTTTCTGCACAGTCAAAATTTTCTGTGAGAAAAATCTCAATTTTGCTAAAAAAATCTTGATTTTTTTCCCCTGTGTTTTACCTGAATCAGAATATTTCATTTTGTTGAACTGATTTGAAATGCTTAGAATCAGTTTAATAAAACAAAGTTGTATTTTCCTGTCATTGTGATGTCTTATGGGAGTTGTAGTTTGAGCCCCACATTCTTCCTTATGGGCTGAACTCCCTGCAGGACTACATCTCCCATAATGCAATATGGATTGCCCACTGACCAAACTCTGTGTGGTGCATCATGGGAGTCACATGCCTCGGAGTGCATCAGGGGAGATGTAGTCTAGCCAGGGAGCCTGGTCATAAAGGAACCCAAAGTACAGCTCCTTAGAGGCAACATTCCATAATGGGAAAATGTAGTTTAATATTGAATGGCTTGAAATGAAGCATTTCAGGGCAGTTCAACAAACTGAAACAAAACATAGATTTGGGAAATGTCAAAATGTTTTGTTTCAATCTGAAATGTCAAAATGAAAGATTTCAACACTTGTGAATCAACATTTCTCACAATTTCTGTTCCATTAAATTTTTTTTAAAAATTTCATATTTTTTGTCAAGAATCTGGACAAAGGGTAATAAAATCCCATTAAGGGTGAGGCTGTAGCATCTTCATCTTCTGTAATCAAGAGATGTAGCTTGCACTTCACAGATCCAAGAGCAAACTTTCTCTGGCTTCAAACTGTGGCCTAAAGTCAGGAGTTCAGTGCTGGATAAAAAAATGACTTTCTCTACTTTTTGAGCCTTATCCTTCCTGCACACAACCTCCCCTCCTCCCCTGACCAAATATTAATATTGACTTGGAAGGGATATGGACCAATTTGGCACAACAAAATAATCCAGGAAAGCAAATGACTTACTGCAGCCAGCACCTTTTCTTGTGGAGTGAGGACAGAGCTCATCCCAAGAAGCTGTCCCGATGGACTCACCATCACTGGCCATTTTTGAATCAAGATGGGATGTTTTTGTAAAAGCTGTGCTCTAGGAGTTATTCTGGGGAAGTTCTCTGGCCTGTGCTATACAGGAGATCAGAGTAGATGATCACAATGGTTCCTCTTGGCCTTGAAAGCTATGAATATGTCACTCACATGGCTAGTTTCAACAGCGACCAAATAAAAGAGAAGCCAGACAGTAACCTGGACTAATTCCTGGGGCGTGGCCTTCAGCAGCGATTAAAGAGTCTCATTCACAGAGGGACACAGGATACATGATACAGTAGTTTTTATCCCAGGATCTCAAAGCATTTGGCAAAGGGGATTGTTTCCAAAATTTGCCTCTTTTTTTTTGGTCTAAATGTTTTCAAGTTTGACCCCTTTAAACACACACACTAAAGTCCGCGTGCTTCAGGAAGGGCTTTTGGTCCTGCTGCCCTAACAGCTTTGAACTGCCAAAGGCCTAGCTTTGATTCCTAGCTCCCATCACTCCCTCCCTTGTGACTCACTCAGCAGTGACCCCTTGGGCTGATCTAAGCATGGGGTTGCTGGGCTCCAGGGTGAGCCCCATTCAGCTACCACCGGGTAAAGGTGGGTTGCTGTGACCCCAGGCCCTGTGGGGGAGAGGAGCGGGTAGAGGTGAAGCAGGAGAAGCATGAGAGCATGCTGATGATGACCACTTGATGGAAAGAAAGAGAGGGTGGGTGAGAGTCTCAGCTGGTGTAGCTCCACTGAAGTAAATGGAGCTGGGAAGATTTACACTGGCAGAGGAGCTGTCCTGGCATGGCTGCTGACTAGACCACAGGCCTGAGAGTCAGGAAACCTGGGCTTCTAGTCTCAGCTCTATCCCTGACTTCCTGTGTGAGCACAGACAAGTCCTTTAACTTTCTGTTGCCTCAGTTTCCCTTCTGTGCAAGGGGGAAAATAATACTTGCCTACCTCGTTGGGGTGGAGGGTTGGGAGGTTTTGTGTTTGGAAAGCACTTTGACGCCTACCAGAAAATGATGCCTCTTTGCCTTGGAAGGTGTTCTAGCCACAGTGAGCCAGGCCTTCATTACTTCCAGGAACTCTTTGTATCTGAACAAGAATTGGAAGCCACACAGAAGATCTGGTTCTCCTGTCAGTTACACCAGTTTACCCCACCCCCGCTAATTTTGGTGGCGTTCCTCTTCAGTTACACTAGAGAAAGCAAGAAGAGACTCAAGTCCAGATGCTCCAATTTGTGCAGAATACACAAGCTCACCGCCTTAACGGGAAACCCCAAACTGGGAATAGAAGCCAGGAGTCAGGGATTGGATTCCCAGATGACAGGCATCTTAGAAATACCACAAATAGCCAGACAGACAGGTTCCCCAGTCCCTTGTTCTCAGCATTATGCTGCAGTGCATCTCCCCACTCCATATAGATACATTTTAATCATGGGCGGCCTTGTTCTACGAAGTCACTGGCTTTGCTGGCAGTCGTACAGAATTAGCATATTGCAGTCATGTGATGTGGCAAGGCAGTCAGTGCTTCTTACTCATGATACTAAGGAAAAAAGTGCAGTGTTCTCTGATGCTTTGTTTCTAATACAATGTAGCAAAGAGACATTGATTTTTAGCTGCAGCCAAATGAGGGCAGGAGTTAAACGAGTCCTCAAAGATATATATAAAAAGATACATTTGTATTACTGTATATCCTGATCACAGAAGGCTGTGACTATTGTTGGCTTTTTATTCTTTTCCTTTACAGATACCATACAAGAATGGCTGGGAAGATATAATCAGAGTGTGGAATCCTTGGGGTCACGGGGAATGGAGAGGGCCTTGGAGTGATGGGTACAGCTTTAAAGATTTGATCTCATAAGAAGGGTGAAACTTTTGTGGGTTTACTGCAAGGAGGCTCTGTCCAGGGCTGACTACAACTTGGAGTAGGCAACTCTAAATTAATCTGCTTTAAGCCCTTTTTCCATCTGCAAACCCACCTCCCTCTAGAACCCAATTTGAGATTGAAAACATAAATGCAATGTTATTTTTATACTTACTCCAGACTGGGTCTAGTTCAGACATCCCTCTTTCTCTCAGCTAACAATTTTCACAGTGGATAATTACAGGTAAATCTCAGACTGGATAGCTACTGTTTTCACCTAATACAGGTTCTGGACATGCCCTTATGCAATTTTCTGCTGTTTAATGCTCCACAGGCATCCAATATAGGGTGCAGCTTGTGTGCTGCTGAACTTTCTAAGGATGTCAATGCAGAATGCTCCTGCTGCAGTTTTAACTGGGCTGCTTTCCCCCTCCAGGATGTCAAATCTGGAAGGAGAGTAGCCAGCAGGGGGAGTGGCCATGATAGCACTGATCTATTGGCTGGGTGGATGCTTGTAAGCCAAGGGGCGGGGGGCGGGGTGGAGAGCGCTGGAGGTAGTGCAGAGGCATGGAGCTTCCATTCACATGCCCCTTCTCTTGAATGGATCTTCTAGGACCAGCATGGATGTGAAGGGATTAATGGGTTTTGCAGGCCAGACCTCCTGGTTGTTCCACTGGGGAGTCACCCTCCCCTCCAAGTGTAAGAGACTGATCCAGAGGAAACACTGTGATGACTTTGTTGCACATAGGTATCAAGCGGGGAATCCAGTCTGGCTGACTGAAGCTGGTGTTCTCCTAGCTAGAGAGTTGTACAGGTGCCACTACAACACTGTGGTTTAATAGCAACAATTCTCCTTCCCTCTGTGGATGATAACACTAATAACTCCTCCGCTGAGAAAATAAGTCTGGCACTTAACGTCTGGATGGGCCGGTGGGAGTGTAGTAGGTGATGCAGACATGTTTGAGGCTGGGATAATAGCTATCTGCTCAGACAGCATGTCCCACTTTTTGGAAGGGTGAACTATAATCCTCGCTATAATTGAAATTTCGGTGGAGCGTGCTTAAAGGTAAACTGCATAAATCAATACCTTATTGATTCATGCTCTGTTTATTTATCTTATGCTCTGCAGAAAATACAATTATCACTTAATTATAAAACTGCTGTTTGGAAATAACACAACCAACTGGCTAATGTGGTCTCTGTGTGGCAGGGGCACTGCAAAATAATATCAATGTAAAGCCTCAGTAGTTCACTAAACATTCGGATACCAAAGGGTATGTGCAGGGAACTGGAAATGGGATGCAGAACGTTCCACTTCTAGATGGCCATTCAAATACAGTAGCTGCAAATCATTGCCACATGATAGCTGGTTGTTGGCCTGTGAGAAATGGGTAGCAGTCCCAATCTGGTTCTCAGCAGACAGCTGTCCACATAGCCAGAACCATCACTGCTAATTCTCTGGTTTAAAAGTCAGCCCAAGGACTGGCTAAGCCCATGGGGACAGAAGTACCATTCCACTCACTGCAGCTGTCCCCTGCCCCTGTCAGGGGTGAAGCAGGTGGAAGTAGAACTGGTCAAAAGAGGGTTTTTTGACGGAAAAAGGTTTTTCAAGAAAATGGAAACTTTCACCAAAAAATGTCCATTTTTGGTAGCAAATCTTTCAGATTTTTGTCCAAAAACAAAACAACCCACCCCACTTTTTTCAGTATTTTGGCAACTGGACATTTTTCAGTTTTTTTAACAAAAACCTGAAAAATTTCACAGAAAAAATTCACAGAATTTGCCACGTGGGGGACGGAACTTCACCACTTCACAATGGCTGCGGCTGGAAACACACTGTGCTGTCAATGCTCCCATTGTAGTGGGGCTGAATGTAGGGTACCAGTCAGGCTCTCAATCCATCACTTTTCATGTGCATTCCTGGATCTAGATGGGAGCGTGACTCTGGGATGGAAAAGGTTGAGAATCACTGAATGAAGGCCAGGGCAGACCCCTCATTGCTGTTCTGTTGTCTTTCACAGCTCTCCCCAGTGGGATCGAGTTCCAGTTGAATATAAGAGAGATCTCTGTGAAGATAAGGACGATGGAGAATTCTGGTACGTTCACATTAATGCTTGGATATTCCGGGTTTTCCTTTTAGAACCCTGGGGCCCATGACTCATTCACTTTGCTTAGGCGTCAGCTTGGTCTCTGCTCTGAGTCACAGTTCGGAGCCCCATTGTGCTGGAAGCTCTATGAACACTTTGTTAGAGACAGTCCTTGCCCCTGCTTGCAATCTGACAGACCGAGGGTGGGAAGGGAAACAGGCTCACAGTGGGGAAGGGATGTGCCCAACATCACACACACCAGGTCAGTGGCAGATCCAGGAGTAGAACTGAGGTTTCCAGATTCCCAGTGCAGTGCCCTTGCCACAAGACAGGGCTGCCCATCACAAGGTAGGTGACCTGTTAAACAAGAAATACAAAATCTGAAGGATTAACTACCCACGGGGATGCAGCGAGGAGCAGGGTACAGTAGCAAGGACTCCAGCCATCAGAGTTTGGGCTTTCCTGATGGGTCTAGGCTTGTAGCTTTTCATGTGTCTGGTCAGACTCAGGTACAACTTTGCCGCAGTTTTTACAGACTCTTTAACCACGGGAAGTCTCCCTCTTTGCAGACTTGTGTGGCCAGGCTCAGAGGGTAGCAGAGCAGAGGGAGCAGCATGGATATAGGCTGTGGCTAGAGAGAGAGTGCAGATTGGGATGTAATTTGGATGTGGGCCAGGATGGTGCTGGAGAGAGCAGTGTGGGGCCTGTGCTGGGGCACTGGAGAGTGCCATGTGGACATGGGCTGGAATGCAGTATGGGTGGGGGCTGGCCTGGGGTACTGGAGAGTGGAGGGTGATCCAGCGTCTTCCTTTCTGGAGACCAACCACTTCACAGCCAAGGCTTGCTTTTCTCACCATGGTAGGCCCTGATCCTGGAGCTGGATGTGTACAGATGGATCCCATTGACTTTAATGGGGTTCCACATAGGCACAAAGCTCTGCCCCCAAGGATCCAGTTATAGGATCAGGGCTTTAGGTAGTACGAAGGTGATCACTCTGAGACTTCGCATCTTCCACAAGGCATTGTCACAATCAGCTGAAGTCTGCAACACCGCATTCCTGCCTTGGCTACAGATCCACTTTCCCACACAGTGAGTGTAAGCGTTAGTATCCAACCGATGTATCAAACTTCTCATTTTTTTTCCAGGATGTCATATCAAGCTTTCACAGAGCAATTTTTCTTGCTGTGTATTTGCGATAACACCCCGTCATTTCTGGACTTTGGAGATCAGCATGGTACAAAGTGGTCCCTGGCCATGTATGTAAACCAATGGGCTCGAGGACTCACTGCAGGTGGAAGCAACTATCATAATGGTAATGAATGTCCCAGTCTGATCTCCTACCCCATCCCCATTATCTCCCCTCCCTCTCACCCACACACCCCCACACAAATAATAAGCCACTCTGAGGACTGGATTGCAAAAGTATTGATTAAAAATGGTTGAGCTTGATGTTTTCCATCCTTGCACTTAACTCCAAAGAAAACAGGCAGAACTGAGGAAGCAGCAATGGTCACTGAGTCAAAACTGATGATATAAAAACCCTGTACTCTCTTAGATCAAAACTCACTGGTCCATTATATCGGGCCTGGCTGACCCAGGGCTAGGATGGGACTAGAGAGTCTGAGCTGGCGAGAAGCCAGCTTGTTTTGCAAAGAAATAATATTACAGAACACATATACATGTGGAATTAATTGACTAGAATGCCAAAGCTCTGTTGTAGTAGGACAATACTTTGGGTAGATGAGGCCATCAGCGTTGCTGCCTGTGCCCTGATCATTCAGTTGTGCCGAGCTTCAGGGTTTTTTTGCTGTTGCACCTCTTATTCGGTTTTGTTATTTTAATCTATGAGAGCATCTTGTGATCAATAAAGGGTTGCTTTTATTTTCAACGTGGTTCCATTATTCAGCGATAGACAGGCTTCAGTCGCCTAGTAACACTGATTACAATTTGTCAACGTATTGTAAAAAACAGAATGAGATACTTTCACCACAATGTGAGACTGATAGGCACGGCTGTGTTAAGAGTCCATGAACACGTCAGTGCTCATGGCTGTCGGATGGCTGGATGTACTCTATTGGCAGTAGGTAGAAGGAGGCCACTTTCCATGGACGTATATTTTGCCATCAACCTTCTAGTATAGTTTGTGACTGAACATGCCGTAATGCAAAATACAACCACTCGTCAGCAAACCATCATCTCTGAAGCTCAAACCAACACAATCAAGTGTTTGCCCCTGTGATTTATTAATACTTAAGGTCTATTCTATCTTAAGAAAGAGCTCTCTTCTCAGTCTTGTGTGTCCATCTTGAAAATGCACGTTAGCCCAGCTCTCTTTCCTTGAGGCCATTACTTACTACTAACCAAAACCTTGGCTCCATTGTCTGACTGGTCTACAAAAGGCCTTTATCTTTAGAGCTGCATCATTGCTACTGATACTCTATATTTTTCTTGGTGAACAATAGCTCTCTGGGAAAACAGGAGAATTTATTTGGACCTCCTCCTTTTCATGGTTGTGCAGTTATGACCTCTAAGCCACAATCCTCTCCTCCATTAGAGTATCCTTGCCTACGTGGGTTTTAATAGAAACTGCCCTTACCGGCTTGAGAATGGATGGGATTGTGGTTAAGGTCCTGGGTTTGAGACTGAGGTGATCTGGGTTAAATTTCTGACTCTGCCACGGCTTTGTTGGGTGACCACTGGCCAGTTACTTAATCTCTCTGTGCCTCAGCTCACCATCTCTAAACTGGGGATAGTAACATTTCCTTCCTCTTGCACTTGGTCTTTGTTTGGTTCAGTTGTAAGCTCTTTGGAGCAGAGACCATCTCTTACTATGTGTACGTATAACAGCTAGCACAATGGGGTCCTGATCTTGGCAGGGACCTTTAAATGTGATGTACTGCTACTACCACTAATACTAATCATTTCACAGCAGGTGCATTTTCAAGGAACCCCCAGTACTTTATCCAAGTGGAGGAGCCTGACCTGAAAAAGTATAATGTGGTGGTGTCACTGATGCGAAAACCTGTCAATAATATGACAGATGCACAAAAATTGTTCACAGGCTTTTTGATCTTCAGGGTAAGCAGCATCCACTGGTATGGGGGCAAGAATAATACTTTGGGTGGGGGCGTTGTTTTTTTGCCTCTACATAGAGATTAAGGGCTGAACTATGTCCTCAGCAGGGCCGGCTCCAGGCACCAGCCCACCAAGCATGTGCTTGGGGCGGTGCCTGGAGGGGGGTGGCGTGGCGGGGCAGTCGGGGAGAGCGGAGAGTCCTGGCCAGGCTCTCCGCCCTCCTCCCGGCGCTCTGGCCGCCAGGGAGAGTGGAGAGCCCCAGCCGGGCTCTCCACCCGGCTCTTGGCGCTCTGGCCACCGGGGAGAGCGGAGAGCCCCGGCCGGGCTCTCCGCCCTTCCCCTGGCGCGCCGGCCGGTCGGGCATTGCGAGCCCGCGGCCGGGCTCGGCGCCCTCCCCTGCCACGCTGGGCGGGGGGTGGGGGCGGGGGGGTGGCGGGTGACTTTTTTGCTTAGGGCGGCAAAAAAACCAGAGCCGGCCCTGGTCCTCAGAGACACATGATCAGCTGCCATTAAGTGGAGCTGGTGTGAGTGTGGATTGGGGAAGAGGAGGTGATGAGAAGTGGGGGGACTTGCATGAACTGACAGCTTTGACATTAGATAACAGTACCAAGGAAATTTTTGTCTAATTAGGGGAGTTGGAATAGAGTACAGAGCTTTAGATCAGCTACATGCTTATTCTATATTTTAAACCTGCTTTTCCCCTTTCTTCCCCTCAGGTTGAACCCGAGGTATGTGCATTTTCTTTTCTTTTTCTTTGATTGATCAATAATTACCAGAGCTGGATGCGGGAGGGGAATCATCAGAAATTGAATTTTCAAAAATTTGATCAACTCTAATAATTGTGTGTTTTTATAAAGGGGTGGGCAAACTTTTTGGCCCGAGGGCCACATCAGGGTTGCCAAATGGTATGGAGGGCCAGATAGGGAAGACTGTGCCTCCCCAATAGGGTGACCAGACAGCAAGTGTGAAAAATCGGGATGGGGGTGGGGGGTAATAGGAGCCTATATAAGAAAAAGACCCAAAAATTGGGACTGTCCCTATAAAATCAGGACATCTGGTCACCCTACTCCCCAAACAGCCTGTCCCCAGCCCCCTATCTGCCCCTTCCCATTTCCCACCCTCTGACTGCCCCCCTCAGAATACCCGACCCATCCAACCCCCCCCCCCTGCTCCCAGTCCCCTGACCGCCCCCTCCTGTGACTCTCCACCCCAACCACTCCCTGGGACCCCACCCCCATCCAACCATCCCTCCCTGTCCCCTGACTGCCCCCTCCTAGGACCCCCTGCCCCTAACCACCCTCTATCCAACCTCCT